GTCATCACAACAATGTGGGTTGTTAATTTTGACCATGGTTATACATATTTCATTTATGACAGAGCTCTGAAATATTCATAGAAAAATTAGATATATACTTATTGATTCTATAAAATATATAAAGTTCTAAAAATATAACAAAATCTCTACTACATCCTTAAAGTTACTTTGTTTTTATAAAAAAAATCATTTCCATTCAGATTAACAAAATGTATGTGCTATGTGTGTAATAAGGATAAGCCTTATGATTTAATTTTAAATTTAAATGTGTCTATGGAAACCCATAAAAAATGCCATGATCTTCTCATTTAGTGGTTATATAATATCATTTATTAGGCATGCCGTATTCTAGCTACACTGGTTTGCATGAACTCATGAAAAAAAATACTCGGGCTAAATACTCAAAGCTACCAAATTTCATTACGTCTGTAAAAGAAGTCAGACCTTTGTTAGGTAAGTATGTCAGTTTCCAGTCATATATTTATAGTACAATTTAGTGTTTTAAACTTATTTTCATATATTTATGGTTATTTGGTATTTGCATTACGTCATTGCTATACAGTATTGGAAGATATAGTGTTACTTCTTATTGCGTTCCATTGGCCCTGAATTTGAACAACATTTTGACGTTAATTTCACTAATAGAAAATCATAAAAGATTTCCGGTGTTGCAGTACTTACGTTAAGATAAAGAGAAAGCATAATAATATAAGCAAAATTAAATAAAGCACTTAACTCACGCAATAATGGTATGACCACAGATAAACACCTAACACAGTAACGTGAGTTAACAATCCCCTAATTCATTCCATTCATAATATTAATTTTCAGAATCAGGGGTCAATGTGGTCGATATTGGCTGCGGCGATGGTTTCGTCGTATGTCGTATGGCCGAAGCGTTTCCTACAAGTGAATTCCATGGAGTGGACATATCTGAAGAAGCCATTATAAGTGCAAGAAACGAGGCGGCAACGCTTGGTCTAACAAACGTCACATTTCATACTCACACAGCTGCTAGACTTCCTGCTTATTGGTCAGAACTGTTTGATTACGTCATAGCGTGTGATACTATTCACGACCAAGCATACCCGGATGTGGTGCTGAGTGAGATACGTCGTATATTGAAACCCAATGGATATTTTTCAATGATGGACATAATGGCGGAGTCTAAGATAACTGATAATATGTCGAATCCTATAGCACCAATGCTTTATATGACCAGTTTGATGTCATGTATGCCTTTATCTCTTTATTTTGAAAATGGTGCTGGTTTAGGAACTATGTGGGGCAAGGATAAAGCATTGGGCATGCTCAAATCGGCTGGGTTCCAGTGTATCACTGTCGCGCCTACTGAGGACGAATTACCCGACTACCACTATTTTAATAAAAAAGTTTAAACTGAAATAAAGGTGAGAATTATCCGTCCGTTTTGTCGGCTCGCCCAATTATTGGTTTAGCTGAAGAATTGTTATTTTTTGAAAAATCGTCATTGCAACAAAGTGCAGTTTGTATCAATCAAATTAATTCAAGGTATTTTCTTTGTTTTATGAGGTATATGTCGTAGAAATTGCAATTATGTAAGTTAAAAACGCTAAAATAGGGTAACCCAAACCTCTGATACCAAAATATATTGTCGGTGAAATTTCCCATAAACGTCCGTATCTGATTCTTAATTACTGCAATAGACAGGGTTACCGCGCAGCAAGCACTGCGAATGACGCTGGGTTCACTTCTGATGAACGCAAACCAGGGGCGGATCTAGGATTCTGGAATAGGGGGCCAAGTTTCGCGAGCGCCGATGGCGCGAAGCCCTGTTGGTTGTTTAAAATGGGGGGGGGGGGTATCGGCCCCCTCTAAATCCGCTCATGAAAACTAAACTCAAACAGACGACCTTCACCTTAATAATTTGCATACTTGGGTACGAGACAGATATCATAAATCCCCTGAGTACAATATTGGATGGGGATAACGACACATTATCTCGTCTAGACCCTTCTCCGAATTTAATATGATGTATGGCGAATTCATTACTGTGCTTATAAATCATTACCATCAGAATTAAACAAATCTATCTAAAATGAGAGCTTTTTGTTGATATGAATTCAATTTCGAATAGAAGTTTACATTATTGTATGGTGTGATGTAATGCAATGACGTCATAAAAACCTAATTCTGATAGTGATTTCAAACTGAGTGTAATTACAATGGGATATATAATGTAAGGCAATGACGTCAGATTTTCTATGACCAGCTCCGTTCTGAATACATGCACGTATTTATTTAGCAGAGCCGATAATGCGGCCGTCATTACAGTATGAATAATAATTGCCGGGTGTTGTTCCTGATGACTTGTGTATATCAAGGATTAGT